TTGTCAGAAAGCTCGCACCTGAAAAGAATTTTATTCGGGTTTATTGCCAAGAGGGAATAGTTTAAGTGTAAAGCTGTTTTATTATGCATGGGCGTCGGGAAGCGAAGATCTAGTCTTCATTTTAAACGTTACTCGAAAGACCACACTTTTCATCCTCAACTGTTACATCGGTATTAGGACTGATACTGCATGCCCCCGCGATCTAGAAATATGTAACAAATCGAAATTTGAGTTATTTTATCGTGGGTGTAACTGTAAAACCTTGAGAGTGCAGCGAAATTCTACTAATGGCTCCCAGAGCTTATAGTCAGGGCTACAGCTAGTAACAGGCTTGCCTCAGTCATTATCTTCGTTTTTGTTGTTTATAGTCATTATAAACACCCTAAATACCTAGGAAGAGAACTAAACTACAGACATTGCCTCAGTCATAATTTTTCTGGCTACGGCTGGCGCATGGCTAGTGTACGATAACTCAGCCAATCAGATTGCAGCATTTGCAAATTGGTATACGAGTATCGAGTTCTACGAATTAAAACTCAATTAGGTCAATTAGAAACACTAATCTAAAAATGGGCCGTAAATGGATTTACATTTCGATATTAAATCGCAGAAAACGAGTGGTTTTCCTTTATAAAAACAGTGTTTTCAAAGATAAAAAGGAACATTTTCTCGGCCGTGTTTGCCATTTGCTAGTAGTAAGAGATTTCAAAGGTAAACGATATTCTGGTGTATGTATTTAAAAGATGTTAAAGTTCTTAAGTTCGCATGACAAGTACCTATTATAAACTTACAATACGCTGCAACAATGGAATGCCCGCGGCAAACGAAGCTGTGCATGTAATCAGGCGGTGAAGCCAAAATGTGATTGGCTGTTGTAAGTCCTTTTGTACGAAAAAATTCCCCCGTGTCCTGGCATAAGTGATCTGTTTCACAAAATGAAGTGCTCAAAAGTCAGATTTGTCGCTGTTGTGTTGATATTCAGCATAGTTGCTGGAGTGTACCTTCTGCTCTCGCATTCAGAAGGTGACGATAGAACAGGATCACATTTGACGCGACTGTTCTCGAGCAAATGGCGATCATCAGAAGCGAAACCACAAGAAGAAACTTGGATTTCTGGTAAGCTTTAACGGTCTTTGAAAGCTTATAAAGAATCACAAATTTAAGCGAAACTTATTGCAGAATCTTTAACTTTTCATGCCGTTTTTCGATGAATTCTTTTTACCTTCGTTACACAAATGGTGAAAAATAGCTGATAAATGATTATTCGTGTCAATCCTAGGGCTTTTTAAATTTTAGCAAGTGATTATAAATTCTAAATGGAATACCTTTTACCGATGTCACACAATATCATCAATTTTTCGTATTTTTCAAATAAAAAAATCACCTCCATAGTTCAATTTATCATGCCCAATTTAATATATCTGCGAAGTTTCATAAGAGTCCGTTGCAAACTCGTAAAGATACGGGAGTCCAAACTTACAAAGAAATAAATGCATTTGCTAAGGGGAAAGCTTTGCTTCCAGGCACACATTTCTTTAATTGTAACTGAAACTGGGTCCCATATTTTTATGACTTTGCAAGGGACTCCGAATGAAGTCAATGAAACTTCACATATGAACTAAATTCGGCAAGATAAATCGAGCGGTCACGCATATTCATTGTTTAATGGAAAAAACAATCGGAAAAGCGTGACATCAGTAAAAAGGTCCATTGTTTTTACATAACTTACATTTAAATAATTGAAATTTTGTGAAGACAAGAGATGTGTGATTGTTTTACTTGTTTATAGGATCAAACAGGGATCAAATCAGGGGCACCCAACGGATCGTTCTTAATCCCCTCCGATTTTCTTAAAATAACAAAAATACTAATAATAACAAAAAATTTCTTTCAACTTTCAACTTTCAACTTTATTGCTTCCATCACCTATTACAATATATACTATAAATCGCTTTAATATTACGATTTTGTTGATACATAACAAGTGATGAGGGAGTCTATAGAAAAGCAAAAAAAAAAAATGCTTGAAATCTTGAGAGAATTGTCACCTCAAACTTTCGTGATATGAGAAATTTAATGTCTGTTGTTTTCGGATTATTAAAAATGTCGTTTTGAGTACCGAAAAAAGGTCAGCTATCATTTTCGGAAAGGCGATAACAAGTCTATTGGCTGGTGCTCCTTAGACTTGGCTTCATTGGACCAGTCTTTCGCTGCCATTATAGAGACGCCTGTCGAAGAAGTGCGAAGTTGATCGTCGCTGGGCTTGTGTTGTTTGGTATTTTGCGAGAATTCTCCTTCCAGTATGAATATTTGGCTGCTACTTTCATGTGTCATGGAGTTTTTAAGGTAAATTGGGATCTTTTGCACTGCTTTAGCCTGATTGCTCAGTTGCTCGATCTTTCCGCTTGGAAAATGGAAAGAAAACGTCTGCTACGAGGTCTGGCATTGTTCGTTCGCTAGTTGAGCTGAAAATGATCAACGTACGTGTTTAGAAGGTGAAAGGATGAATTTCTACTTAACAAGATGTGTAGCAGTCAGGGAGGTCTTTTAAAATCAGTTGTGAAGAAAAAGCAGAAATTCCTAAAAACAAAGCAGCCGGGGGGAGGGGGAGGGGAGGGGGTTGAATAATTACGGAGTTCCGAAAAAATAGAAGGGGGGAAGGGGCAGAAGAGTTTGGAATTCCAAAGGCATGTGGGACTGAGATGAAGATGCCACCAATGGTAGGGTATGGATATTTTCTGGAATCACCCAATGGCTGTTAGGGGAAGAAAATATAGATTTACATTTTCTGCCAGCAAGTCCCAGCTGTCATAATTATCAATGAAAAAATTATGGTTGTATATAAACACGTGCATCAAACAAATAGCAGAACCTATCAGAGGGATTAAAAAACAATAAATCAATGAAACTCTGAAACTCAGAGTAGAAACTTAATGCCCTGGCTCTTTAAGTTTTAAATGCTTTCTTTTCTTACCTGAAAGACTTGGCTTGATTTGAGTGTAATTTTATCTGTCATTAAAAATGTGCTGGCTTTACAACAGGACTCAAACAACTGCAAATTAATGTACTTGTACTGTGTATAGAGTCTTGCTTTCACTAGAATCTTTTGGTGATAGATCTTTTCATGTAGCTGTGCCTATACTGTGGAAAGTGCTCCCAGTGAGCCTGTGCAATATTGATTCTATTTTAACTTTTAAATCTTGTCTTAAAACACATCTTTTTTAGTTAGCTTTTAGCCTTAAGTGCTTAAATTACTTTGTTATTGTTAAATTTAGTTTATGTACATATTTAGTATATTTTAATATTGTAATGCACTTTTGATCATTGTATGTTAAAAATGCAATATAAATTAATACATTATTATTTGTAATAGTAATTGGACTGAGTGGAGTACAATTCAGGGAGTAATCACATCTATAACGAAATTCTCGATCGTGATTGGTTCTCTGCATGCCTATTTGCCACGTAATTGGCACGCAATCACATGGGTGTCCAATTACAGGTATCCAATTTGAACTTTTTGTAATTGGACACCTGTGATTGGATACCCACGTGATTTGCACCTCAATTACTTGCGCTTTAATGGCTTTCTTTGCAACGTTTCCTACAGTTTTGAAAAACGCGCTACATACATTTTCACTCAAAAGAAGTTCTCAAAAAACATTTTTAATTCCAAAATTTATTATAGATTCGATTAATTAGTAATTAGACCTTGTGTCGTACAATTTAGGGAGTAATTGTGCTTGCAATTTCAAATCGGCCTCGTGCTTTGCGCTTGTCTGATTTTGAAATTACTAGCACGACTACTCCCTGAATTGTACTTCACTTGGTCCAATTACTATGACTAATTGCACGAGTAATTTTCAAATCGGTCGACTGTGAAGTGTGAGGCCGATTTGAAATTATGAGCATGATTACTCCTTGAATTGTACGGTATGAGGTCCAATTACTAATTAATCGTATCTATAACAAATTTTAGAAAGATATGTTTTTTGAGAATTTCTTTTGAGCAAATATGTCTGTAATGCCTTTCACAAGTTTTGAAAACTGTAGGAAACAGTGCAAAGGAAGCCTTTAAAGCGTGCCGTAATTGACGTGCAAATCATATGGGTATCCAATTACGAAAAGTTCAAATTGGATTCCTGTTATTGGACACTTATGTGATTGCGTGCGGATTACATGACAAATAGGCACGCAGAGAACCAATCACGATCGAGAATTTTGTTATAGATACGATTATTATTATTATTATTGTCTCCTCACGCCAATAGACATATAAGGCTGTCACCTTGTCAACCCGACACTGTGTTCTGTGCCACCGCTTCAACTATATTCTAACTCATCCACCCTGGCCTGCCTTGTTGCTTTCTTAATCTCAACAGTCCCTCCAGGGGGCAGTTCAGTTCCCCTCTCACCATTCAACCATCTGGTGTCCACCACAGTGCTGTCAGACAGTCGTTCTTCTATTTCTTCCTTTAAGCAGTCAAAAAATTCAAAAGAACTAGCCCTGAGGCCAAAACTTGTAAAACAAGAAGAGGCTGACTGATAGACAACAGCTGTACACAATGTGTAGCCAAACAAGTCTTACTAATTAAAACTTGAGTAACTTTATGCTTTATTTTGGTTTACAGAAATCGGAGGATTAAATTTCAGTAATTCTGTGGTAAGTGGAAGTTTCTTCAGATTGACAAAATAGAACATTAAGAGAAAATCCAGGACTTGATTAATCTATTGGCTAATCCATTAATAATAATGGGAGACTCTACAGGGACGCACGGTGGCCCCATGGCTAGTGCACTTGTCTTCTAGATCAAGTGGCTTGGGTTTGAGCCCTGGCTGAGGACTTTATCTACAGCTTAGTGGTTGGTACATGCATCTCACTGTGTTAACTGTTTTGTGCTCTTGGCAAGAATTGTGAGGTCTGATCTCACCACCCAGGTGTGTAAATGGCTACCAGCAGATTGTTAGTAGCATGACCTCTAAAAATGCTGGATGGAGGAGAGGTGGTGGGGGGAGGGGAGGTAAACTGCTAGCTAGGAACTATCCATGGTCAGTAAAAAATACTTTTGGTCACATCATGTTACAATGATCAGCGTTTGGAAAGCTCTGTCAGTTGTGGATCATTATTAGCGTCACCTTGTGAAATGCATAGTCACTTAATCCAGGATTAATACCGACAACTTTGAATTCATGAGATACATAGTCTTTATATCATATAAAGTCTGCACATGAACCAAGTGGCTCATCAGGCCAGAGCTTACATGTATTCCGGTTTCTGTAACATGAAGCGATTAGGAGTATTTCTACTCCCCCCTGGATGGGATGCTAGTCTGTCACAGGGTTACCCCCAGCATTAAGTTCACGTGTACAAATTTATACACCTGGGTCAGGGTGGAAAGAGGCACTGCGAGAGCAAAGTGTCTTGCCCAAGAACACAGCACAATGTCCCCAGCCAGGGCTCAAACCTGGACTGCTTGGTGCGGAGGCAAGTGCACTAACCATGAGGTCACGGTGCTTCCCTTTATATCATATGGTCCATTAATTTTGGTAACAGGTCTAACAGGTCCATCTCCAACTGCTCAAAGTTCAGATATGTTAATTAAGGTGATTAGTCTGCATTCAAACCTAGTTAGGGTTAGGGCCCATCAAGCTAGCGCTTATCTCCAGTTTCCATAGCATAACGTAACCTGTCGTGGATGACATGCTAATCCATTGGAGGACTACCCAGAGTATTAAATTTTCTGGTAATAATTTATACACCCGGGTGGAGAGAGGTGGAGAGAGACACTGTGAGAGTGAAGTGTCTTACCCAAGAACACAACACATGACCCTAGCCAGGGCTTGAACCTGGACCACTTAATCTAGAGTTCAGGGTACTTAAACCATTAGGCCACTACACCTACTAAGATGGGTCAGATTGCAGAAGACTACTGTAACTTGTTCCTTTGCTGGTATCATATTATTATTTATCAATCTTCTTTATCTTGTCATTTCTCCGTTACAGGTCTCCAGTGAACAAAGGCTGAAATCCTTGAGACAAGTATGTGGAAACACAAGGCAATCGTGGGATTCCCTTTCGGTCACAGAGAAAGAGATCCTAGCCAAACACATCTTGGTTAATGATGAGCACAAGTTTCTGTACTGTTCAGTGCCCAAAGTTGCTTGTTCAAACTGGAAAAGAGTCATGATGGTACTGGATGGTGAAGCTACTGACACGAACACCATCCGCAAGGTGAATCACATGAGCTTTACATTCCTAGGAGATTTACCACCCTTGGTTGTCAAACGCAAACTCCAAGAGTATTATAAATTCATGTTTGTAAGGGACCCTCTTGTCAGAATTCTGTCAGCATATAAAGACAAATTCTTGTTAAACAACACCTCTTTCCATAAAAGCCATGGAAGAAAAATTGTCAAGCATGTGCGGAAGAATGTTACAGAAAACTCCAAAGGAGATGACGTCTCATTAGAAGAGTTTTTGCAGTATGTAGCAGAGAGTCGTGTGGAAGACATGAATGAGCACTGGATGCCATTCTATGAATTGTGCCAACCTTGTGCTGTTTCATACGACTTTGTTGGATCCTTTGAGAATCTGGAGTTGGATGCTAATCAAGTACTGAAAGAGCTTAATGTGAATGACCAAGTTTCTTTTCCTAAACAACAGAAGTATTATAAAGCAGGTGGTAAAGGATATGTAACAAGTAAGAAATTCACAGATGTATCACCAGATATGTTGAAAAAAGCACTAAGAAAATATGATTTGGACTACAAATTATTTTCATATCAAAAACCAAATATTTAAAATGATTTGAATTTATTTTTCACTTTGTGCACTCAGTTTTTAATCCTACTCACTCAATGCACATCTGATAATTGAGTCCCCCCCACCTCCCCCCACTTCCAAAACCCCCAATCCATCAAGTTGATGACTTAGCCCTACAGAGATTAGGCGAAGACAAGCATCCAGATGTCTGTGTTTTGCAGGCTATATAGAGATCTGTGTCTGAATATCTTGCTGCTGCCTGAATTTCAATGTTCATTTTAAATTACAACTAAATTCTAAGATGCAGTTACAAGGCATTAAAATTGACGAGGGAACAGATTAAATTATAAACATTTAACACATTGAAACAGTGTGCTGGATGTTCTGCACGCATTGCATGCCTCTAATGCTAACCAACCATAAACTGCATGATGTGAGATTACAGAACACTTGCCCAAGTTAACTAAAGTAATAGAGCGGTTTTCAATTGAGTGTCAAAAAGTAATTGGTTTTGCATTTATGCTGGGCGATTGTCTTAAAAAAGCTCACGCCACTTTTTCATCCAATTTAAAGTAAAACAAAACCATTGGTGACTACCTTGCACACATTTTCCCACGCTTTGCGTGAGCTAAATGCAATTGCTTCACATTTTGATTGGTACATTGTATTGTTTGTGTCTTTTGTGACTGGCTAGAGTGATTACTTTGGTTTTGGTTTTATGACACTCAATTGAAAACTGCTCTAGAAGTAATTTACTATTCCTTAAAAGAGTAGTAAAAGTGTTATATTTTTAAAGAAAGATACATTAATAAATGAGTAAAGATTCTACTCACCTGTACAGACAAAAAACTGCTCTAGTACAAGTTGGTAGAATTTGACATGACAGGATGTTTCCAGTACAAATCACACAATTTGGACAGCTGGAAGGATAAGCATTTTATTTGTTTAATACTTCAGGAAAAATTATACCCATGGTGACGTCATAGACCTGTTTTTTTTAAGAACAATTATCACATATAAATTACGTAGGGCTCATTGTTAGGATATGTCTAATATTGTAAAATATTTTGATTAAAAGTAGTCACAATTAAACAGATTTTAATGCTTCACTGGGGCATAGCCAGGAATTTCCAAAGGGGGATCACACTGTGTCAAAGTGGGGCACTCACCAGGTTGTCATGTCATTTTTGCCACCTGCTGTAGGTTTTTTTCTTAAAAAAGGCTTACAGAAGGGTGGGGGGGGGGGGGGGGTCACAGGCACCC